CTATCTAAATCCCCCTCGGAAGAGTTGTAAGCAGAAATGTGCATATGTCATGTGACCTCATCAATATGTATAAGCACATTTATTCAGAAAACTATATCTTGATAAGGAAACGAGTTAAATAAATGGAATTAATTGCATATTGATCCAATGTGCATTCAAACTACCTTAATGGCAATCACGTGACCTCAATTATTATGAAATAGATGCCTGAAAGATTGGCCCCGCTGACGCCTAATTAGGCTTTAATTAGGATTGCCTAAATTATAATCATCCAGGATGTTAATAAAGGCACGATTTTTTTCACCTTCGGCGAATAAAATTACATCGTAACAAATTTAATAACTCTAAATACCCTGACAATAAAGCTAAATGTACATATATAGAAACCACACGCATACTGAAATAAAGACGCCGATTTTGTTTATTGTAAACACGTGTATTGAAACTTACCATGCTAATGTGAATTACGTTGTAATGTACATTCGAATGAAACAAACATGAAAGCATCAATTGACAAAAGTGCGACGTTACCGACAACAGCAACATTTCAGCGTGATGACGTCATATATGCGCAGTTCGGAATGTGCGTGAACAAGACCCGCACTCCTTAAGGTTGAGCAATACAGTTTTACGAAAGTCTTTGGATTTTCTAAAAGTGCGTGAATGAATTGCGTATTGCTATACAAAATCATATTCGAAAAAAATGTGGGCCACGAACCAAATATTTTAGATAAACGTCTGAGTACTTCGCGTTGAGTACGAGGTTAATATATGGAAGTTTATGAAGCAAGAATAAGTCACGACCCATTCAATTATGAAAATATTTTTTTATGCACCCACTGCGAACCGACCAACGTTTGTGAAACAGTGTTATTGACCAACCTTAACATTTGCGTGTTATTGTTTGTTTTTTGTTGTAAAAAGCCTCGTTCTGAGATCACACCATAACTTTATTGGAGTTCATTGGAACTATTACGTCAAAGCGGGAGAGTCTTCACCTGCGCATGCGCCAGATGGTCATAGCGTGTCATTGTTTACAAAGAATCGGGGCTTGGGGCCTTCGCGTTTTTAGCATCGTCGCTTAGGACTCAATTCCCGCGCGTGCGCAGGTGACGACCCCTCCTCTTTGAATATTTAATGATGTGGATTTCACGAACTATTTGAGGATGCGCCCTTGTTACGTATCAATGCAGCTCGGTTAATGATTCGGAACAGAGTCGTAAAATTCAAAGCAATAGCAAATGAAAATAGGAAGCCGAACCGATCGCCAACATTCAGACACGCTGAAAATTGAACATTTAGTAAATATTCG